TTTGATGAGGTCTATGACATTTAAGAACTGTTTTTTTTTAAAAAGAGCAATGCAAATTTAATTAATATAACTCTGAACTTTCAGCCTGACATATCTCCTGTAGTTACTTTTAGTCCATTTATTTCTTTTTCTGGAGAGTGGGGAAGGAAAGGCAGAAAGCATGTGTAGGCACCACCAGGAGGCAAAGATGGCACAAAGCCTACGACAAGGTATAAATCTTGCATGGCCCCAGAAGGTTGTGTTGTGTTGTGTTGTACTCAGCTAGGGAAGGTGGCCAAAGCTGGACTGAGGTATTTGTTGGGGTTGACTCTGGGGAGAAGAAATTGTAAGGGGAGAAAGTGAGGGATCACATTTTTGCTTAAATACAAATTACTGTAGAGTCCATTCTAAAGTATTACACTGGCTCTAGATTCTGCCCTTTATGACTATTATTAATGATGAGAGTAGAGTGCTTTACTCTCTCAGCAACATTTCTGGTTAAGTTCATTCAGCAAAGAGGAATTCGTCCCTTTCTGTATTGAAGAGCCCTCTTCTAAAAGGTAGGGCAATTTATTTATTTATTTTTAACTGTTATTTTTTTTCAGTAATTGAGACAAAAGTGAAAGGTAATTCCACATACTAAAGTAGCTAGTGAACAAGTACAAAATTTTACACTATAAAGTCTAGTACATATTATAGCTTAGAGAAAAAGGTATTTGGGAACGGTGAAAAGATGGAAGTTTGTAGCAGGTATCACATCATATGCTGTGTGCATTTATTTGTTGACTGAGTTTCACTGTGTTGTCTAGGCTGGTCTTGATCTCCTGAGTTCAAGGACTCCTATGACTTCAGCCACTCAATTAGCTTGGACTAGAGGCACATGCCACCATTTCCCAACCAGTGCAATATACTTTGATTTCTTTGTGCGAAACTATAGTCACTTGTTTTGTTTAGGAATAAATGTGTCTTAACTAACTTATGAAGACATGAAGTATTTATGATGCATGTTTAAAATTGCAAAGGTTCAGAAAAATGTTATAAATTGAGATACTAGCAGGTGTTCCCTAAAAGTTTACCATTTCAAGGAAAATCATTTTCAAATCCTTAAAATTCATTTTACCTCCTGGAATTCACAAGGGAGCAAGGGGGAACTCACATATGTTCCCTGGAGACATCAGCTTCTTGTGCAAGCAAGATGCGGGGTTACGGTATGGTTTCTCATTTGTGTGGATGGTGAGCCCCTGCTTTTGTGGATTCTGTAAGCTTGGTTCAAAACATTCTGAATTTAAAAAAAAAATTCTGAATTTGTCTAATCATAGTATCTTTGTCTAGCAGTGGAAATGTCCCCTCCATTTGACAGAAGCATCATTTGCATGTATTTGCATATATCTAAATACTCTGGAGATCTTTCTCCTAGGCAGCCTGTGACACTTAATTCCTGGGTTTAGATTACCAGAAGAGGCCCTAGGGAGATTTTCCTAAGTGTTTTTTCCAACAGTTGGTTTTCCAATTTTGCTCCCCCATGAAAACTAATTAGAAGTAACCATGGTGTCACTCAAGATAGAATTTTACTTCCATTCTACAAAATGATGGGTCTTCACAGAGTTTTGTGGTCAGTCTGAGTTTTATGGGAAGGACTACCCCCTTAAAGACTCGTACTCAGAGAACTCAGAAGATGATCTTGTTGAGGAAAAAGCATTTCTTTTGCTATTGCTTTAACTTGACTATGAGTCCCATCCCCACCCCCTACCAAAGGTTTGGTCCTCAGCTAGTGACACTATTTTGGGAGAAATTATGGAAACTTTAGCAGGTGGGACCTAATGGAAGTCACTAGAGGAATGTCTTTGAAGGGGGTATCTTGCCCTGGACTCTTCCTGTTTCTCTCCCACTCCCTCTCTCTTTCCTCCTTACCTTTCTACCCCTTGCCCTCCCTCTTCTTCTTCCCCACTCTCTCCCTCTCCAGCCCTCCCTCTTTTCTCCTTCTCCTTTACCTTCTCCTCCTCCTCCTTCACCTCTTCTTCCTCCATCTCCTCTTCCTGTCTGTCTGTCTATCTGCTTGCCTGTCACCTTTCTTTCCACCATGAGGTAAGTAGCCTCTACCTATTGCTGTGTGGTTGGGCCTTACCACTGGCCCAGAAAAAACAAAACCCACCATGACAGACCTAAAGGCTTTCAAACTGAGAGCCCAGGTAAGTCTGTCTTTCCTTGTTTCTATCAGCCAGTTTGTCACCAGGATGCGGAAAGTGATGATTATGACTGTCTTCTTTAAGCTTGAGGAGATGATGCAAGAATCATGGACCCACTGAGACATCCATTTTAAGTCAGATGTTTGTAAATTCGTACAGATGCAAAACAAACTGTGGAGATAGTAGCTAAGATGCCTGCTAATGCTCTATTTATTGAGCTAAGGATAGGTGATTAAAAGAAAACCAGGTTCCTTCACACCAAGACTAGAAAGAACCTATAGCCTTACTTTGAAAGTTTTTCCTAGATAAGAGATCAATTCTCACTTTGGTTCAATGACTAGTCTCTTTTTTCTTTTCTTCTTCTTTTCTTTTTTTAAAAAAAAATCCTTATTGTACCTGTTCTCATTTTAGTTCAATTACTGGTCTCTTTTTTCTTTTCCTCTTTTCTTTTTTTAAATCCTTATAGTACCTGTTTTCTCTTCCAAGTCAGTGTCTACCCTATCTTCTTTTACTCCTGCCATCCACCTCTTTTTTTCTCCCAACACAGTCCAGTCAACCCTGCTCAGAATGTGGACCTGGACAATCCACTGAACCAGAGTAGAGACACAGAAGAATAAGGGCTGAAATAACCCAAGGATGACTTAGATACTTGTCTTATTGACCATACGGAGAGAGAAAAATTATGGATTTGCAAATATTACATTTTATGGGCATCACAGTTTTAACCATGAGATTTTAATATATCATCTTTTTTTATGAGATTGAACACCGAGTGACCTTGGAAGAGCTACAGAACTTAAACGCACTCTTTCAGGTAGGAACTGGCCGGGTAAACTCTTTTAGTGTCCTGCTGAGTCATTTGATTCTGTTTTTTGGATGCATGACTTTTCAGTGCAAACTACAATACTTTCAATTTCTATAAATGAGCAACGAAAAATATTTTTGGAGGTAAATATTTTTGTAGGTATTGAGGGTTTCAACTCAGGATGTCATTCTTACTAGAGCCCCGCTATATTTAGGACTATATTTAGGACAGGATGGTGTCTCATTTCCTGCTCTGGTGTATGCCTGAGCCATGTTCCACCCACTTTTAGATTCCCATCATCCCTGGGATGCCTGCTTCCTTTCCAGAGAGATGAAGTCTCACTGACTTTTCTGCCTGGACTGGTCAGAAACATCAGTCTTTCCAACCTCAGCCTCTTCTTAGCTGGGGATGACAGATATGTGCCACTGCAATAGATTGAGAGAAACTTTGCAACTCATTTGCCCAGGCTGGCCTTGAACCTCAAACCTTCTATTCTTAGGAACCCTGAACTGTTATCCATTCACTCTCAGGTGCTTGGCAGGAATACATTTTTGATTGTCCCTTTTGGTCAGTAGCAGGGTTTGAACTTAGGGCCTTGAGCTTGCTTGCTCAGTTCAGTGGCACTCTTCCACTTGAGCAAAATTTCCTATCCAGCTATTTTTTGCTGGATGGAGCCTTGTGGACTTTACTGCTCTGAGTGGCTTCAAACTGTAGTTTTCCAGATCTCAGCCTTCTGAATAGTAGGATTGCAGGTGTGAGCTACAAGCACACAGCACATAGCCACTTCTTAATGGAATTAGAAACAAGTTCTAAGTGCATCAGAAAAAAATGAAGAAAAGAGATATAATGTTAGGAGTCAACAGTTCAGGTAAGTCTGATTAGACATTCAAATCTTTTTTCCATATATATATTTACTGTAAAAATACTGTACAGAGGGGTTACAACTACTTGAGTAGGGTAATGAGTACATTTCTTATCGAGCAGTGTTACCTCCTCCTTTTTTTTTCCCTACCATCCTTTCTCTCCCCACTTCCCCAACTCCTCACTCCCCGCCCCAAAATTGTAAAGTTTGTTTTCAACATAGTGTCTTGTACATCTCATTGTTACAGTGGATCAACCTGTATCCTTATTTAAGCATTTTGTTATATCCTTTCCCCTCCCCAAATTATAAAATTGTATATACAAGATGCAGGATACTGGAATCAAATACAGTGAAAACAGGGGTTATACCATAGAGGAAGAACATACAAAAGAAACAAAAGAAAAACATAGTGCATTATAAGTACATTAAGAACAATAGCAAGAAATAAAAAAACCACTTGCTCACCTTCTCTAGCCATAAAAGAAATGCAGATCAAGACAACATTGAGATTCCCCCTCACCCCAGTTAGAATGTCTATAATCAAGAAATCTAATATCAACAGATGCTGGAGGAACCCTATTGCATTGTTGGTGGGAGTGTAAACTTGTTCAACCACTTTGGAAAGTAGTATGGAGGTTCCTCAAAAGACTACACATAGAACTCCCCTATTACCCATCAATCCCACTTTTGGACATTTACCCAAATGATCACAAATAAGGTCATACCAAAGCTACCAGCACAACCATGTTTATTGCAGCATTATTCACAATAGCTAAGATATGGAACCAACCCAGATGCCCCTCAGTAGATGAATGGATCAAGAAAATGTGGTATATATACACAATGGAATTCTATGCCTTCATCAGAAAGAATGACATTGCCCCATTTGTTAGGAAATGGAAAAACTTGGAAAAAATTATATTAAGTGAAGTAAGCCAGGCCCAAAGAAACATAGGTCCCATGGTTTCCCTTATTTGCAATAACTAGTACATGTCTGAGACAAGCAAAAAACAAAAAAGGTCAAAAGCTATGTACATATGACCATATAAGATGATGTTAAGGGAAATGAACCCTAACACATTCAAATCTTTGAAGTCTTGCTCCTAGAGAAATAAAATGTAACAACTATAGGTTCCTAGCTCATTATTCCTTTTCTTTTTCCTCCCAGGAGCATGAGAAGAGAGGAAGAGCATTATTGGATATGGAAACTTTTAAACACATGATGAAGCAGAGTATGAAGACACAGGATATAGTAAGTGTGTTTTAAAAATGTTGGAACCACATTAATCTTTAACCAGATGACTCAACTAGATTTGATGACCTATATGTAAGATTTCTCTCCTTTCTAAGCTACAATTTTTCCTAAATACCATCTGATTTACTAGACAGTTTGTATAAAAAATATTTTTAAATTACTTAATATGCTCAGCCAATAAGATACTGGATGTCAGTGGCTCACTCCTGTAATCCTGGCTACTCAGGAGGATCTCCATTTGAAGCCTGAATGACTGAATGCCTGTCAGATTCTTATCTCCAATTAACTACCCTAAAAGCCAAAGGTGTATCTGTGGCTCAATTGGTAAAGCACTAGCCTTGAGAAGAAAGAAAGAAAGAAAAATCTCAGAGACAGTACCTAGGCTCTGAGTTCAAACCCCAGGACTAGCACAAAAAGAAATAAAGAAAAGGAAGGAAGGAAGGAAGGAAGGAAAAAAGAAAGGAAGGAAGGAAGGAAGGAAGGCAGAGACAAAAAAAGAAATACAGGGAAAAAGGAAGACAGACAGACAGACAGACAGAAAGAAAGAGAGAGAAAAAAAGAAGAAAGAAAGAAAAGAAAGAAGAGAGACAAAGAAAGAAAAAGAGAGAAAGAGAGAGAATGAGAAAGGAAGGAAGAAAGGAAAGAGGAAAGGAAGAAAGAAAAGAAAAAGGATCTTTATAAGAACATTGTTTTTGTCTATTCCAAAGACATCTTTTAAGTATCTATTAAATCTCCTCACTTCTGGAGTTAAATATTTCAGACTTACTCTCTGCTAACATTAGATAGCCCAGGACATGAAGTTTATGAATAAAATGTGCCTCATTCATTATAAGATAAAATATATGTTAAGGAACAAACTGTTTAAGCTCAAGTTGTCAAAGTTTTATAATTGTGTCTTAAGTTACAGAAAAAATATTGTTTCACTTAAAGCTATGATCCTGTCCCTGGAGTTTAATTACAAACACACCTAGTCAATTTGTAGTATACAAAGTTATCACCCCTCTGTACAGTATGTTCACAAAAAATAAAATTAAATTAAAAAAAACAAAAACAAAAAACAAAGTTATCAGCCATCTCTTCCAACTGTAAGGTCCCCGGGCCAAAGTTACAATGGAAGTTAGATGTGTTTAATCTCACCTACTACAGAAAAGGAAATTAGATCACATCTATTGTTTTTTAAAATATCCCCTCCTATCTTAGTTTCTTCAGGCTGCCCTAACAACTACTCATTTCTCACAGCCTAGGAGCTGGAAGGCCAAAGTTAATTTCTTGGCAGATTTGCTATGCAGTGAGGGCTACTTCCTGGCTCATGCACAGAGCTTTTTTTCCCCCTGTATCTGCTCATTGCAGAAGTGGTGATAGGTCTCCTGGGGCCTCATATACAAGTGCATTGGTCCTGCTCATTAAAGCTTTGCCCTCACACACATTCTCCCTGATAGGCAGAAGTTAGATCTAAAATGCACTGGGATATGACAAATTATACAGGATTCTAGATATACACAGTGAGACCAAAAGAGGATACTCTTAGGAGAGAAACACAAAGGCTCACTGTCTAAGTACCTCTTCATATTTATATAAAATAATACACTTACTGAAATGAACTCCAAGATATGGAAACAAAAGATTTTTTCTCAGTTTAGTTTTTGATAAAACTAGAAAAAAGGATGAAAAATGCAACCGTAGAGCTCACTGGACATTGATGAAAGTGAACTATACACCTTGTGGGTAGAAACAGGAGGGAGGAAGTGGGAGAGAATGAGGGAATAGAAGACACTGTATGAAAGGAAATGTACTCATTACCTAACTCGTGATCATAATCCCTCTGTACATCACCTCTATAATAACAATAAAGTAAATTAATTATTTTTTAAAAGCTTTGCCTTCATTCCCCAGATACCCTCCAAAGGCCCTTCTTATTATCCCACCATCTTGGGAGAAGGAGGAAGTGGTGCTGTGGCTCAAGTGGTAGAGCACTCGCCTTGAGCTGAAGAGCTCAGAGACAGCATCCAAGCCCAGAGACAGCACCCCAGAGTTCAAGCCCCATGGCCAACCAAAAAAAAAAGAATTTGAGAAGGAAAGAAATGCATCTCCATTTGATGAAGCCAAAACACTTTCAATGAAAGACAAAGAAAATTTCTAGATGGATAGATGCTCAGGTTACAAAAACAATACTCTAGTTCTTTAAAAATGGGAGCAGTACAATTACCTATGTTTGAGAAAGCCTGCCTGCCTAGTTGTCTGCTTGTGTTCATTCATTCATTCACTCAGTCACTATCCATCTGGTCAGGCTTTGTCTTACAACTGTGGTGCAGTTGGTCAGGATAGTCTATGCCTTGCAGGAATGCAGACAGAGCTATCATACCAAGCACAGATGCATGAGAGACCTGAACCGGATGAGGAGTCAAGAAGCCATAGGAATGTGAAAACTGAGTTTTGAAGACTGAAAGAATGGTACCATAATGAAGGAGAGGGAAGTGAGGTCTTCCAGGCAGAGGGAACAGCATTTGCAGACGCTTAGAGGCGAGAACCAGCATGATGTCTTTCAAACACATCAGTAAGCACATGTGTGTGTCACACTGGCAAGGGACCAAGCTAAATATCCCATGATTCGGTGCCAATTGAACTAAGCAAAATTTTACCCAGCACAATACAGAAAAGTGATGAGACATTTATTTTACAGTTATTGATTTCTGACTCCCTGCTCACATTGCCTTAGGATCTTTATGCTTGGTTCCATCAGCCTCTGGAACAGCAGAAGAGCCTTGTTCAGAAAGCATCCTATTCCTGCTTTATAACTGAAAGCACAGTGGATCTGAATAAGTTGGCTGAAATTCCCTGGGCATGGGGGAATTGACTGGGAATTCAAACTCCAGTGCCACTAAGGCTCACAATGTGGGGGAGGATATAAGGTTGAACTAAAGTGACAGCCCTCAACCATTAAGGCCTGAGATAAGAGATTTCTTGTCTCATGTAAAAAGTCAGGAGTCAAGCGACTTCATGAGTTCTTAAGAGCTTAGACTCCTGCTACTCTGCCACTTAGCCATCTTCAATATGTGGGTTCTTCTTTATGGCCCAAGATGGCTGCTCAGATTCCAACCAACAATCCTCATTCCAGACATCAGGAAGAGGTGAGTGGCAAGGAAAGATTTACCCCTTTTACTTTAAGAACAGCTTTCAGATACTTCCTTGACAGGTACTTGGGCTCAAGTACTTTTAAGAGGAAAAAAAATGTGCCATATCTAGCTGCAAAGGAAATGGTGGAAAATGTGGTCTTTATTCTGAGAAGCATGAGCCGGTTAAAAATTGGGTGTTCTATTAGTTAAGGAAGAATGTGTAAGGGAAATAACTACCACCATGTCCCTGCCACTAATCAGGAGTTTTGTATTCAGGTACCTGCTTCGTACTTTCTATGAAGTGCTGACTTAGTCAAAATCGTGTCAAGAGCAAGTTCTAAAGGAAAGATGAATATTTCATACACCATTGGCATGCAGAGGAAGGGAGGTCTCAGATTAGGAGCATATCAAGACCCATGACTCAGTTGGGAAGCAAAAAACAACTTAGTTTTCTTTTCTTTTTCTTTATGTCTGTTGGAGGGCCTGAACTCTGGGCCTGGGCGCTGTCCCTCACCTCTTCAGCTCAAGGCTAGTGCTCTACCACTTGAGCCACAGCGTCACTTCTGGCTTTTTCTGCATATGTGGTGCTGAGGAATGGAACCCAGGGCATCATGCATGCGAGGCAAGCACTCTAATACTGAGCCACTTCCCAGCCCCTTAGTTCCAATTTTCTAGAAATATTTTGATGCTCTTCCTTATGACCTGATGGGGGTCTGCTGCCAACTGTAGCATGAAGTCGACCATTTCCCACTGTATGTGAGGTTGCTTATCTGAGACAATGAGCACTATCACAGAATCTCTCAATGCAGAAACCTCTAGATCTGCCACCATGGCGCAGTACACTACTAGTGCTCAATCTGATTGGTTTCAAGGAGTCAACTCACTGAATTCAGTTATGAGATCAAGGCCCACATGACCATGTCTGTTCCTGCAGACACACCTCATGCTACTCAGCACTGGGCCGATCTGGGCACAGCCACAGGGCAGCTGCACCAGGGAGAGTCTATCTGCTGGTCCAGGCATTCACGATGTAGCTTATGAGGCTGCTGCCCACCCTATCCAGAGCTCCAGGTCTCCAAGGTCTCTCAGACTCTTTTATGGTCACAGTGGTCCAAGGCCAGCTGTGATTGCACTCACTTGGGCACTGCTGATCCCAGTCCCTTCCTGAGGCCACACCTGTGTGTGTTTGGGCTTATTCAGACATTAATACCCAAAGTACTTTTAAACACCATGGTCATGGTATTGTCTGATGTCTGTTTGACACCATCACCCACACCAGAAGTGTGGTATGTTTTCATTGGACTGGAGGGAACACAGTGGAACTTGGTCCTTCCATTTATGATCTTGATACGGTTTGTGTCACTTGGATGTCTTGCTGTCCTAAATACCATGCACCCCAACATTCTCTCCATTTCATTGTTGTTTCTGTTTGCAGATACCCCTGGATTTTGTATGTCCAACATGAACACATAATCTTAGCATCTCTGTTGAAGCCACCTTCAATAGACCTTGGCATTTGAAAGGACCATATGTGTGTGTGTGTGTGTGTGTGTGTGTGTGTGTATACACTTATACACACACACAGTCATTTCAATACTCAAATACCTTTTACTGCTAAGCCACAAATCAGCTTATATGGATTGCCTTCAGCTAAAGAGAACTCAGTACCTTGTAGGGCAACTTACATAGCCAGCTATGATCCATAGAAATGCTTGCTTTCCAAGAGTTGACATTGAATTGTAATTATATGTTATCCATCAGCCCAAGTTTTATGCCTTTGTATTAGTAATCCATTGCTACATGACAAGGCTTCAAAAATTCAAAACGATACATGCATAATTATCCTGAGATAACTGAAGCTATTATAAGTGAGGATCCAGACCTGGCCAGGTGGATCTTCTCAGTGTCTGAGAAGGCTGGCCAGTCTTGTCAGAAATCTTAATTGGGAAAGCATCTGCTTCCAAGCACACATATTGTCACCAAGATTCAGTTGCTTACTGACTGTTGGAATTCAGGTCTCAGTTCTTTGGTGACTGTTGGCCAGAGGCTGCCTTTGCTTGTTTGCTGGCTGAGCTCCTCTATAGAATAGCTGGCAACATGGCAGGCAGCTTTGTCAAAGCCAACACAGGGGAGTCTGCTAAAAGGACAGAAGTTGTGATCTGATGTAATCTCATTGCAGAAGTGACATCCGCAATAGTGAGGCACTCCATTGTCTACAAGTGAGTTACTGGGGCTGAGGGAATTTACACAAGCTGTGAATGCCAGGAGGCAATAACAACTGGGACAATGTATGGTCTGGTGCTATAAACACACAAGTAAATCTCTGTCTGTGTTTTTGTCTCTGTCTCTGTGTTTGTTGTCTGTCTCTCTCTTCTGTCTTTTCTTTTTCCTCTGTCTCGAACACACATACACATACACACACACACACACACACACACACACACACACACAGAAGGATACTTCTAATACTCAAAAACACTTCATAATTGCACAATTTGTCAGGCTACTCCCAAGTGAGTACTAACCTCATGCTTGTCCCTGGCTGTTCATCTGTTCTGCTTTCCAGTCATCTGAATGAACTGCTTGTCAACTGTCCATTCTTTAGGTAAAGCTGACCAGCATGAAGTAAGACTTCTTAGGAGCACAAGCACTGAGGATTACAACGCATCTTCTGCTCCTTAGGGCTTGATTTCAATAGCAAAAGTGCTCAGAGCTCACATCACTCTTTTGGGAAGAGTTTTGGTGTCCATGTGCTGAATTGTGATACATAGTCCTAGTAATGTGGTAGTGTAAACAATCCAGAGATTGTTTTTGAATATGAAGTCCATAAACTGGAGAAGTGACAATTTCCACTTCTTCTGCACCCTTTCTCTCAACAGGTGTAGTGAAATCTACACACCTATTTTTTTTCTCCTCTAGAGTATTGAACAAATAGAACAACTTTTCATGAAAATAGACTACGAAGCAGTGGGGGGAATTCAGTGGGTAAGTCTGGTTACGTTTCCTGAATCCAATGGGCATTTAGTATGGATGTATGTACAAAGCATGTTTTTATTCTGATCTGGCTCCTTCCTGGGATACCCTTTGCCCCTCAGCACCTTTGCCAACTTGAGGCTGAACCAAAAGACAAGATTGTTGCCAATTTTCAGGATCTTAGATGTTAGGCTATATTTGCAATAGTCAGGTAGGAATCTTGGTAGCTAAGGAAAGTTCCCTGAATGCTACCCTAAAACTGAGGACCAAAAGATACACCTACCACTTTACCCCAAAGCCAGAGAAACACCAATGCACAAGAGATCTTTCTTAAGTTGAGCACCACTAGCTCACATCTGTAATGCTAGATACTCAAGAAGCTGAGATCCAGAGACAGGGGTTTGAAGGCAACTCCAAACAGGAAAGTTGGTGAGACTGTTATCTCCAATGAACCAGCAAAAAAGCCTGAAGTGGAGCTGTGGCTCAGTGGTAGATCACCAACCTTGAGTGAAAAAGCCAAGCAAGAACATAAGCCCTTGGCCATAATCAAAAGCAGTGGGCAGATATAAAGGATTTAGAAAGAAGACTGTCACAGTTCAAGATCAACAAGTATTATCTCTATCATTATTAACAATACCCAACTTGAAGAAGCAAGTGAAACATCTGCTTTTAGCATTCTTGCCTTTTATGTTTATCATTGGCCTTATTTTATTCTAGAGTAAATTAACTCCCAAAAATGACAAAGTGAGCAGTAAGACACCTCCATTCAAACCTTTGGCCAATTTCCCAACCAGATCAAATACAAGTGTTGTTACTATCACCTGACATGAAAAGGAATATTCCAGATTCCAGGGGTAGAGAAGGGAAGCTTCTCATGACACAAGACTTTGGGAAAAGTGGAAAGAAAATGAAGATTTCCTAGGTTCAAAGATCCCTGCCGCACATCCCACCTGAAGGATACCATAGGATTCTTTGCTGCAAGGAAACAGTTCAGACTCTGTTGTTGAAACCTGAATCCTGATGTATACAAACTGTAGAGCCATAGATAGGGCCCAATGTCTAATGGCTTATTAAATTTATTTGCTCTTGGACGAGCATTTAGCCTTTTTAGACTTTAATTTCTCCATTTCCAGTGGCTCACTATAAGCCCAGCTACTTAGGAGGCTGAGATTTGAGGATCATGGTTTGAAGCCAGCCAGGGCTTCTGTGAGATTCTGTGAGATTTCCATCTCCAATTAACAGTCAAAAATCTAGAAGTGAGGGCTGGAAAGATGGCTCAGTGGTAGATTGCTTGCCTTGCATACATGAGGCCCTGGGTTCAATCCTCCGCACCACATAAGCAGAAAAAAGCTAGAAGTGGTGCTATGGCTCAAGTGGTAGAGTGCTAGCCTTGAGTGGAAGAGCTGAAGGACCGCCCAGGCCCAGAGTTCAGGCCCCACGACTGGCAAAAAATTAAAAAAAACAACAAGAAAACCCCAGAAACCAAAAAACAAAAAAGTGAAACTATGTTCCTATAGTTATTGTGAGAATTAAGGTATAAGTTCATGTTGTATGAAACATACAATGCTTGATAAGAAATGTACTCATTACCTTGCTCATTAACTGTACCTGCTCTGTAAAGTATTTTCACAATAAAAAAAACTTATTGAAAAAAGCCATGGAATATTCTAAATTAACAATCACCATCCTTGCTTTGATGCTCCCCAGTGTCCCATAGTCACGCTAAAGAAGGAGAGTGGCCTGGAGAGGTAAGCCCAACAGATGGGTAACAGACTTCCAGGCATGGCTGAATAGGCGTACCACAATTATTAACCCCAAGTTTGGGGCAACCAAGGTCACATGCGAACAATTGTGTCATGTCCAAGAAAGAAGTTACCTATTCTTTATGGGAGGAAATTTGTTTTGAAGGCCAGTGGCTATTTCATGCATCTTTCTCTGTTCTGCAGGATGGCTTCTGCACATATCTGCAACTGCAGTATTTGGAGCAGGCCAGTGCTCTGGCCCGACAGAAAGAGGCTTCTTTCCTGCTGCCTGCTCTACCTCAGAGGCTGTCCCATGGGGCCCCCGTGCTGCGCATGCTCTCTATGCCTGATGACACCTTAATCGTGATCAAAGAAGATGGAGCTATTTATTTCTGGTCCCTGCAGCTGAAGTTGAAAAGAAAAAAGTGGATTTTTGTATGTGATTCTCATTTGAGAAGGTTGCTGAGTGCTACAGTTTGATTTTATTTGCTATTTTAAACTGCTCCTTAAGTAGCATGATTACAGAAATCATGCCCCAGAATAGAATATATTCATGTTAGATTTTGCCAGTTGATGAGAGGCAAAATAAAATATGAGCTCTACACGGAGTACAAGATAATGCCTCATTTCACTTCTCACATCAGCTGGAGTGAAGAATGACATGGGATCCTATCATGTAATTTATCATGTGCCTTAATGAATGACAAATGGAATCGACATTTTCCTTTTATCCTTCATTTGTGGTTATATCAGTAAGGCCGTTTAGCTAGGATTTCTCATCTGAAAACTAGCAGAATCACAGAATCAGAAATTTAAACAGCAGAAAGCATTTGGGATACATATTTGGATGTAACGATACAATCCCTGACCCATGTTAGGATATATCTATCTTTTTTGTTGTTTTTGTGCTGGTACTTGGGCTTGAACTTAGGGGGCTAGGTGCTATCTATCCCTTAGTATTTTTGCCCAAGGCTTTGCTCTACCACTATAGCCTCAGCTCTACTTCTAGTTTTTTGTGGGTTCATTGGAGTTTCATGGACTTTACTGCCTGAGCTGGTTTCAAACATGATCCTCAGATCTCAGCCCCCCGAGTAGCCAGGATTATAGATAGGAGCCATCTGCACCCAGCTAGGATATAATCTATCTTGAGAATCATTTTTTTATTATCTTAGTCAACGAACTATTCTTGTTTTTGTTCTGAGACAGAGTCTCACTATGTAACCTAAGCTTGCCTGAAACTTGCTATGTAGCCCAGGTTAGCTCCTAATTCCTGATCTGCCTCAGTCATCTGAGTTCTGAGGTTCCGATGTGAGCCACCAGTAAGTAGTTGAGCCTTTGTGTTGATGCAGGCTCTGTGTGCTGGGTTCAAAGATACAGAATACAGCTTCTGCCCTCAGAAAAATGTATGCTGGAGTTATAGCCCAACATCTCAGGATGCAGAATAAATCCTTCATGAGTAGACATTAAGTTGGCAGTGAAACCCAATTAAAGGAAGCATTATGTTGAACATGTGTATTTAGTCATAGGCTGGTGACTCATCTCTTTAATCCTAGCTTCTCAGGAGGCTAAGATCTGAGGATCACAGTTCAAAGCCAGCCTAAGCAGGAAAGTCTATGAGACTCTTATCTCCAATTAACCTCCAAGAAACCAGAAGTGGCGCTTTGGCTCAAAGTAGTAGAGTGCTAGCCTTGAGCAAAAGAGCTCAAGGACAGCGCCCAGGCCCAGAGTTCAAGCCTCACAATCACCCCCTTCCCCCTCCCACCCCCCCCCAGAAAAGGCACAGGTTGGTTAATTTCTACCCTTTAACCTTCCAGGGAAAATCCATCAGGCAGAACCCCAGGTGGGTGACAGATGTTGTCAGCATGCCCCAGTACAATAAGCTGATCATTGGGACTGGGTGAGTACTGGAAGTTCCTCAACTGGAATTGAGAAATTGTGGTGTTAGGAGATGCAGTTCCATATTAAGTTCACACAGATATGTTTGTAGTGGTATGAAGATAATGTCATAAAATTCTCCTCAGAAAATGTTAGAACCATATATCAGTCAGAGGCAAGGCCTAAGTTATGGTCTTGGCTTTCCCTGTGGTATTTGTTGTTATTGCTTCAAAGGGATGAGGCCTCATTTGGGGGAAATGGCCAAGGAATGGGCCACATGAGAGAAACACTAGTCTGGAAACTTTTTTTTTTTAACACAGATGATTTGAGATTCCAAATGGAATTCCTGTTTTATTATCTGAACTAATTCAGTCATGAGTGTTCTGTACTGACTCAAGTAATTAACAATAGAAAGACACGACTCCTCACTATGGACTTGCCTAAGAAGAGCAGGTCTCAAGCTGGGAAGGAAGATCCTAAAGCTTTCAATCCGATGACAACATTCTAACATGACTGTGCAGAGCTCAGGGTACCACCAGACCTCAGTATGATTTTGTGAAAAGAGTACAGAGTAGTGGGAAGGAAATTCATTAAATGTCAATCAAGATAGAAGCAGAAGCAAGTTCAGCACTATGGGAGCTTCTGGGTGGGTGGGTGGAGGTGGGGGAGAATTAGGCAATTTTCATCTTGAGTTTTCAGGGGCAGGGCATGGGGGTGGGCGTAGCTTGAAGAGGACATGCCCTGGATCTCTCAGGAGCCCAACTCCAGAGGGTTTTGTCTCTCTATCTAGTCCTTTCCAGAGCTCACTGTTTCTCTAGGTTTTTAAATAGTTTAATGAACTAACTGTTAATCCAAGCTGGGCCATTTTTATTAGCTATGCTTTAGTTCATGTTGGGTTTTATAATTTATGTGTATTTTCAATGATAGTTTAATAATCAATGTTCATTAACATGTTATTGTATTAACATCATCTATTTAAAAAGAAATAAATGTGGACCTACAAATCCAGTCCAGTTTGACTTTTGTGCCAGTACTGGGGCTTGAATTCGGGGCCATGTGCTTTGCTTGGCTGATTGCTCGAGGCTGGTCCTCTACCAGTCTCCACTTCTGATATTTGGTGGTTAATTGAAGATAATTGTCTCATGGGCTGTTCTGCCCAATCTGGCTTTGAGCTGTGCTCCTCAGGCACAAATCAACAGTTACTAGCTCTAGTGTGACACTGAAATATGATTTTTCCTTTGTTTTGAGATCTACTATTTGTACAACTTAATGGGGTCCTTTGTGATAACTTGATACATGTATACAATCTATAATGATCAAATCATTTGATCAAACCAAATGATTAATCAACGAGTCATTTCATGAGCTGGGAAAGTCACACTTTTTTCTAGTCAATTTGAATTATATCACAGATTGTCTTAACCAATAGTTACTGTACTGTGATATAGAAAATCAGAACTAGGGCTGGGAAGGTGGCTCAGTGGTAGAGTGCTTGCTTTGCATGCATGAGACCCTGGGTTCGATTCCTCAGCACAACATAAGCAAAAAGAAAAAAACAAGAAGTGGCGCTGTGGCGCAAGTGGTAGAGTACTAGCCTTGAGTTGAAGAGCTGAGGGACAGCGTCCAGGCCCAGAGTTCAGGCCCCACAACTGGACCCCCCCACACAAAAAAAGAAAATGAGAACTAATTCCTTTCCCCATCTTCTATTCCCTCATCTTACCCAGTTCCTTGTGACCACTACTCTATTCTATAGTCTCACAAATGAATGACAGTACTCGATACTCCTCTTTCTATGTCTGGATTGGTTTATTTAACAGAATGACTTTTCCAGTTTGCCCAATAACTTTACATGTGTTGCACACATAGGAGGTCAGAGCTTGACAGAGGGGCCATGTAGAGACTTTCTGAGCTAGCAAGGGAGAAGATGAAGCACAGGCATGCTGGAGGTGGGGAGACATTGTACAGCTGAACCATGGAAAGGTTAAGGAATTGCCAGTGACCCTGGTTATGCCCAGGGTGAATAAACAGAGGCAGTAAGATGCTTTTCTCCACCACAGAACTGTTCTCCTCTAATCAACTTCAGAGTACCCTTCCCCCAATATAGCAAAGACGGGGTCAAGGTACAGGTTAGGAGAGAAGAAAATCAAGGATGTACCAAGTTAGCCCTGTACTGTATAAAAAGAGGCCTTCCATCTCCTTTTAGCCAGTCTAATCATCTGTGTGTGTGTGTGTGTGTGTGTGTGTGTGTGTGTGTGCACCTGCATACACGTGCGTACAACAGTACTTGGACTTAAACTCAAGGTCTTAACTTTTCCATCAAGGCTGGCACTCTACCACTTGAATCATACTTCCAGTTAGGGTACATTGGAAATAAGAGTCTCCCAGACTTTCTTGTCTGGGCTGGCTTTGAACTGTGCTCCTCAGATCTCAGCCTCCTGAGTAGCTAGGATTATAGGCATGAGCTACCAGCACCAGCTGTAATCATCTTTATATTATCAACAACATAGAATTGCTATTATTTTGAGTGTTTAGCCAGTCCGGAGCATTGGACAAATCCTTTTCTCATGCACTATCTCATTGAATTCTCTTAAGTGAGACAGGGATAGTTGGGATAGTTAGGATAGCAATTTTCTAAGTGGTAGACTAAAGGAGACTTGAGGCTCTCACTTCTGGATTCCAGAGCCAGGTTGAATGGGAACTGTGCCAGCCTCCAGAGAAGGCCCAGCTCTTTCCTGCCAAACTGAGTTGTCCCCATACCTGGAAGAGAGAGGGAAACCCCAAGCCTAACTAAAGGCCCTACCATGCAGGCCAGACCTCCTACTGGTCAGGTGCCACCATTATTTTGTGATCCATGAATTATATTTCAGCAGAGTTGAAGTGGGGACTTTGTAGTTTACTTCAGTGTGTTTGATTTTTTTTTTAACAGAAGCCGTGAGCTACAGCTATATGAGCTCTCCAACTTGGAACCTTACTGTCAGATTGGTGGCCTGGGTGCTGTTCCCCTGAAACTGGACTTCTGGTAAGAAGGGATCCCCCAGGAAGATCCAGCTGGGATGTCTCACCAAGCGCTGGAACAGTTGTGTTCAAGTAGTCTATGCCAGGGCTGCAGATAGCCTATTGCGAATATGCCATATGCTAACCTACATAGCTGTACCTCCAAAGAGGGACTTTCCTGCAGCTAGCAAGGACAGGGAAGCCAGAGAGGCAAAATCGCTTTTAGAGTCATGAGGTTATTTGGTTATCTAAGCTCTAATTGTGGCTGGATTAATTTCCTTGAAACTCAGCTTGAGGTCTTGAGCTTGCTCATGGGCTCTATTACTTGAGCTATGCCTCCAAGTCTGGTATTCCACTGATTAACAGGGGATGGAGACTCATAGACTCTTCTACTCAGGCTGGCTTTGAATCAAGACTCTCCAGGTCTCAGCCTCCTCAATAACTAGGATTATATCAGTCAGTGGCACTTGGCTTTAATTATTTTACTTTTTTTCTCTTGGAAGCATGGAGGTTTGAACTCAGAACCTCCTACTTGCTGGGCAAGAACTCTACCCTTTGAGCCAAGTCCATATTACTCGTGCTTTTGTTTGCCGATTGCCCATCTAATAAAAATCCACACCTCCGAGATATTATCTTACGCCATATTCTGTTACAATATCAGAATATTGGGAACAGGGTAATTGACAAAAACAAGATATTTCTGAGAGGCTGCTAAGTACAAAAGTGTGGCATTGGCATCTGTTCAGCTCTTGGAGAGGGACTCCTGTCACTGTAGCCCGTGGCAAAAAGAAGCAGCAAGATGCTTGCATGCAGCAGCTCATGCTTGCTACTCAGAAGCTGAGATCTGAGGATTGGAGATTTTAATGTCCCTGAGGTTTTTGTTTTTGTTTTTGTTTGTCTGTTGTGGGACTTGAACTCTGGGCCTGGGCACTGTCCCTCAGCTTTTCAGCTCAAAGCTGGCACTCTACCACTTGAGCCACAGCACCACTTCTGGTTTTCTGAGTGGTTTATTGGAAATAAGAGTCTCACAGACTTTCCTGCCCAGGCTGGCTTTGAACCACGATCCTCAGATCTCAACCTCCTGAGTAGAGAGGAGTACAGGTGTGAGCCACCAGCACCCAGCTCTCTGAGTTGTTGTTGTTGTTGTTTTTATCTCCAAGATAGCACCAAAGAAAGCTGGAAGTGGAAATGTGGCCCAAGCGGTAGAGTGCTAGCCTTGAGCAAAATGCTCAGGGACAGTGTTGTCCAGCCTTAAGTTCAAGCCCGAGGACCAGCTCTTCTCCCTACCCGCCCCCCACATGCTTGGGTACAGAAGAGATCAAACTAGAAGATTGGCTTATTATGTAACACTGGACTCTCTCAGGAGCTTTCCATATATGCACAGCTTCTGCCCCAGATCCCTGTCCTCTCAGGCCACTAGCAGCCCAGATCCCTCTCCACTTGCACTTCACAACCAGACCAGAGACGGCGCTGTAGGCATTCCCCCCCCCCCATGCTAAGGAGACCCAGGCGCCCACCTTGCAGTGGTGAAATAGTGAATTGTGGGGCTTGATTGCCTTTTATGCAAGCTGGTTTACATTTTCCTGAAATCACACCGTGTCTTATTACTGCTTTGGGGAAAGGCTATTTGAAGAAAAGAAAGAAATCATCTCTGAGAAAACTCATGATGAGGAAGTTCAGCCCCAATCTATTTGACCACTGCAGTTTCAAGCTGGCCTTAAACCATAGTCCTCCAGATTTCTACCTCCCAAATGACTAGTACTACATGTGTGGGTCATTGGTCCCTGGCTCAGTATTTTCTTAATATCTGGAAAACTGAAAGCTTCAATTCTAAAGTCAGATCTCATTTAGAGACCTGGGAGGTCAGCTGAAATCTTTGTACCTCAGCTTCCTTATCTTTAAGCTTAGAATAGAAAAACAGACACAGTGTCCATCTCATTGGGTGTTGGGTGAATTTCCTAAGCTGATACTTGTCTAGTGATTTTTTTGGCACATAGAGGGAGCTTTGTAAATGCTGGTTTCCACTGTGATAATGCTTACATGAACCCTTGACAAGGCAGGGCTGGCTGGAGAGAATTCTAGATGAATAAGTAATGGGAGTGGGGTAGGGGGGAGCTGTCATCCTAGGGAGTCCTGAGAACTCTATTCCACAACCATCATTCGTAGTGCTAAAGGTCTGTGTATGTGTATTTGTGTGTGTGTGTGTGTGTGTGTGTGTGTGTGTGTGCTTGTTTTCTTTGCCATAGATGAAGAATTCAGGGACTGGACCCCAAGCCTAGGGGACAGCATGGATTGGTGAATGTCCTTGTCTACTCAGGCTGCTATGATTCCAAGATTAAGGTGGCTACCAATTCTGTGAGGTCCAGCTGGACCTCACCTTCTCACAGTGTCCTCACATGGCCTTTCCTTGTGTGGAGTGCAGAGAAGGAATGAACCAGCCTCTGGAGCCTCTTGTAAGAATTCTGGTCCATCTAAGAGAGCCTCTCCCTCATGACCTTGTCTAACCCTTAGGCACTATCTAAGTAACATCACTTGGTAGGTTAAAGCCTCAACATGTGAATGGGGAAATCCCTTCCCCATGCAGACATCCAACCCACACTGATGAGTACTACTGCCTTGGTATACTGCTTTGTACACATACACATCACCTCTGTTTTGCTGAGGAGTGTGTCTAGGATAGAGCCAATAGTATTAGCTGAGCACCAGTCCCATCCACCAATGGAACTGTCTGTCGGTGATGTCAGTTCTCTGAGAGCCCTCCTCCATGGTCAGCATGCTGTGGAAGGGCTGACCTAAGAGACTAGGAGTGAGGTTCAGGATGCTTCTAAAAAGTAGAGACCAGATCTTTCCTTCCTTCCTTCCTTCCTTCCTTCCTTCCTTCCTTCCTTCCTTCCTTCCTTCCTTCCTTCCTTCCTGCTCTTTTTTCTTTCTTAGGGCTAGCTTCCAGGCACAGCCAATAGAAAACCAATTTGAGACAGTACTTATAATAACTATCATAACTTCAATGATTGAGCATGGGAGGGGTTGAGGGCTGGGAATTCTGCACCTATGTCCCCCCCATTATCCCACTTAGGGCTAGCTGGCTTGCTCTTCACTGCTTTCTAGCTTAGTGACCAGAACATAAACTTTGTATCTTTAGCTCCATTTCATTTCACCACCCCTCCCATACCCAGACCTAATCATGTAGAGAGGTAGTAGAACCAACGTGGTATTTATCATAATTTCCTGGGAGAGTGGAATTCTAGTGAGCACAATGATAGCTAGTTTCAGGGGCTGAATGCTCCAGGGAACATGAATCATGGTGTCTCAGTGCATTTGTGGGAGCACATTGTAAATTAATCACCATGTGTGGTGCCTGCTCTATCATTACCTCTAATATGTGATTTCAGATATAATACAACTTCTATTTTGTTTCTTTCACACCAGTGTAGGCACACTGTGAGGTATGCCTCAGCCCTAAACATTCTAGATACAAAAATAAAACAAGAAGGTAAGAAAAAAATGTTTATGGTACTAGAAATGGAATTTGCTTGGCACATGCTAGGCAAACACTCTACTATGGATGTATGCCCCGGCCCAGAAGTATTCAAACCAGGGTTTTTAGGCCCTAGACCCTAAGTCTAGGAGTCCCACATTCGATCTGGCCATCCCAAAATGAACCCTCTCACATATGACCAAATCCTGGCTACCATTCAAGATCATAGCATAATTTATTTGGTTCAAATGTCAGGCACACAGTAAATAAATAACCTGCAGTATTTCCTCAGCTAAGTTGTGACTTGGGTGTATTGATGATCTATTTATTTGTTTCTGAGAGTCTGAAGTCTGAGACCTACCAAGTCATTACCAGACACACATCAGTGTGAACTACGATCAGAATGGTCATTTTCTCTCCCTCTCTCTTCCCACTTTGTCCCTCTCTCCTTTTCTCTTTACTCCCCTTTCCATCTTCTCCCTCTATTTTCCTTCCGCATTCTGTCTTCTTCTCTTTCACATGTGCAAATACACACCTTTTATGCACTTTGTGATCACAAATCCTTATTCTTGCTAGGTAAGTGCTCTACTACTTGGGTCATTATGCCAGCCCTTGTAATGTTAGTTATTTTTTGAGCTCCATTATTAGGCTGGTCTGAACTATTATCCTCCTATTTGTGCTTCTCTTCCTTGACTGGATGGCAGGCATGAGCCACTGAACCCAGCCATTGTGCTTCTCCTGCAGCTAAGATGACAGGCACGTGCCATCTTGACACCAAATCTAAGCATTGGTCAAGATGGAACATCACAAACTTTTATATCCTAGCTGGCCAGCTTCAAACTGCTATACTTCCATCTCTGCCTTCCAAGTAGCTAGGGGTACAAACTTGAGCCACCATGCCCATTGCTGCTTTTACATATTAAGAAAGAAGGAAAAAAGCCAGGCGCCAGTGGCTCACACCTGTAATCCTAGCTTCTCAGGAGGCTGAGATCCGAGGATCATGGTTCAAAGCCAGCCTGGGCAGAAAAGTCTGTGAGACTCTTTTTTTGGTGGGGGAGGGGTCTGGTCGTGGGGCCTGAACTCTGGGCCTGGGCGCTGTCCTTCAGCTCTTCAGCTCAAGGCTAGCGCTCTACCACTTGAGCCACAGTGCCACTTCTGGCTTTTTTTCCTTTTGCTTATGTGGTGCTGAGGAATCGAACCCAGGGCCTCATGCATGCAAGGCAAGCGCTCTACCACTGAGCCACCTTCCCAGCCCACTGTGAGACTCTTATCTCCAATTAACCACTAGGGTGCTGTGGCTCAAGTAGTAGAGCGCCCACCTTGAGCTGAAGAGCCCAGGGTTAGCACCCAAGCCCAGAGTTCAAGCCCAACAACCAACAAAAAAAGAAAGAAAGAAAAATATCAATGTGATCCTTGTAAAGCACATTGCTCTGTGCTTCATCCTACTGCGTTCACAGGAGAGGAAAAAAGGCTCTTAAAAATCAAAAGCAGGTCCAATATGGAAAGGGGGAGATCAGTTGAATTTAAAACAGCAAGACTTGTCAGAAATC